TGCACAACATGGGTGCACCTACCTACATGCAGGCAATACACACATACACATAAAATAAATAAAAGTTAAAAAAAAATAAAATATTTATAAATAAAATAAAAAATTTTTGGATTTACTTATTTTATGTGCATGAGTTTTTGGCCTGCATGTGCACCCATAAGTGCACCTGTGTCCCTGTGTCATACAGTGCCTGTGGAGGTCAGAAGATGGCATCAGATCCCCTGGAACTGAAATTACAGACTGTTGTTAGCTCCCATGTAGGTGCTGGGAATCGAACCCAGGTCCTCTGCCAGAGCAGCCAGTGCTCCTAACTGCTGAGCTGTTTCTCTAGCCCCTAAAGGCTTAATTTTAGACAGATGTGGTGGTGTGCTTGTAATTCTAACACTTGGGAGGCTGAGGCACAAGGCCAGCCTGAGTTACATAGTGAGACCCTGTCTCAAAAAAACAAAGTTGGGGCTGGAGAGATGGCTCAGTGGTTAAGAACACTGGTTGTTCTTGCAGAAGGCCTGGGTTCGAATCCCAGCACCCACATGGCAGCTAACAACTGTCCATAACTCCAGTCCCAGGGGATCCGACAGCCTCTTCTGACCTCTGCAGGCATTGCACGACACGGGTGCACTTAATCTACATGCAGGCAATACATACATACACATAAAATAAAAAGGTGATGAGGTGGCTCAGCAGGTAAAAGTGTTTGCCACACGAGCCTGATGATTTGAATTTGATCCCTCGATCACATGGTGGAAGGAGAGAATCAACTCCTGACCTCTACATGCATACAGAGAGAGAGAAAAAAATAGTTTTAAAGACTCAAGCTTTGTGCTGACCTCAGTTCTTTTTTCTTTTTCTTTTTTTTTTTTGAGGCAGGGTCTTCCTCTAGCCCAACTGGCTTCGAACTTACAGAGATCTGCCTGTCTCTGCCTCCTGAGTGCTGAGATTAAAGGTGTGTGCCACCACGCCTAACATGCCCACAGTTCCTTCAGAATTTTCTCAGAGGCCTTAATGCCTACAGTGTTTGATAGTTTAGAGCACACGGCGAGGAGGTTGACCAGGAGTGTACTGTCTGCATGTATGCAAGTGCACCTGTGTCATGTAATACCCTCAGAGGTCAGAAGAGGGCGTCAGAGCCCCTGGAACTGAAGTTAGGACGGTTGTTAGCTGCCACGTGGGTGCTGGGAATGGAACCTGGGTCAAAGCTCTGTAAGAGCAGCCAGTGCTCTTAACTGCTGAGCCATCTCTTCAGCCCCTGTTCCACCTTTTAATCAGCTGTGAGCACCCACTGAGTGGCATGAGGAAGAGGCAGGTGGGGCTCATGTTGAGCTGCAGTTTTTTTTTTCAGTCTTTGTGAGATAGGGTCTCCCTGTAGCCCCAGCTGTCCTGGAACTCGGTATGTAGACCAGGCTGGCCTTGAACTCAGAGATCCGTCTGCCTCTGCCTCCCAAGTGCTGGGATCAAAGGCCTGCGCCACCAGGGACACCTGAGCTGCAATCTTGCAAAGCTCAGGTCACCCCAGGCTGGTTTTGCATGAGACAGGTGTGTTAGAGAAAACAGGCCCTCTGGGCGCACAGAAGAGGAACAGGAATGAAAGCAGTGGAGAAAATGCCTGCAGGCAGGAACTAGGGAGCAGTGTTTGGAGCAGTACACAGAGGAGACTGAGCAGGATACCAAGGAGAGTATCCAAGGGGGAAACAAGTTGACAGATGCCAAGGCTGGTCAAGATGTGCAGGTGAGGCAGGAAGTGGGCCCTTTGGTTAGTGTGGTAGGCTGTAATGGTTGTTCATCTCAGGTCTGGAAAACTTGGCTTTTCTCAGCAGGGTGCTTGAGACCTGCATGTGTCCCTGGCAGGCTTGCAGGGAGGAATGGCAGTGTCCCGCTGGAGGCACCAGACCTGATGCCTCCCTGTCCGCTTCTCAGGTTGAATGTCTCCATTGAATGTAAGCGAGTGTCTGGACTGGAGCCAGCCACTGTGGATTGGGCCTTCGACCTGACCAAAACCAATATGCAGACCATGTAAGCGTGGCCCGACCGAGGGCAACCCTGTTCCCCAGTGGCTTTTCTCCGAGGCCCCTGCTCTCATTGGCCCCCAACTCTCCAGGTATGAGCAGAGTGAGTGGGGATGGAAGGACCGAGAGAAACGAGAAGAAATGATGGATGACCGAGCCTGGTACCTCATTGCTTGGGAAGACAGTTCCATCCCGGTCGCCTTTTCCCACTTCCGGTTTGACGTGGAGTGTGGGGATGAAGTCCTATACTGGTAGGAGGGAGACTTGGAGTAGGTGGAGGGGGAGGAGACCATGTGGCAGAGCCCACTGGGCCTGTCTGGGTCTGAGGGCTTTCAGGTGCTGCTGGCTCCTCCCATGGCCCTTGCAGCCTCTTCAGCATCATCCTGCGCCCACCTGTCTGCTTCCTTTGGTAGCTATGAAGTACAGTTGGAAAACAAGGTGCGGCGGAAAGGCCTGGGCAAGTTCCTCATTCAGATCCTGCAGCTGATGGCCAACAGGTAAGGGCCACCTTCTTAGGCTGCTGTGTCACTGGTGGAAAGAGCTGCTGTCAATGACACCGCCGATGTCTGGGCCTCCTTGGAGGACCGTCGGTAGAAAGGCTCTGGGAAAAGCACCTGGACCCTCTCAGTAAAGTGAGCCGTCCCTGCTTGCTGTGACCTCCCGCTTTGTCACACTGCTCAGGGCAGAGTGTATCGTTTTGTTTTGTTTTGGGGGGGTTTGCTTGTTTTTTCGGTCTTTTGAGATGGTCTCCCTGTAGCCCCAGCTGCCCAGGAACTCGCTCTATAGACCAGGCTGACGTTGAACTGGGGGTGTTTGTTTTAGGGTTCATTGTGTAGCACTGGCTGGCTGAAACTCTTGTGTAGACAGACTGGCCATGAGCTCACAGAGCTGCCTGCCTCTGCCTCAAGTGTTGGGATTAAAGGGCACACCACCATGCCTGGCTAGGGTATGGCTTTTGAAGGCCTGCTCTGTACTAAGTTATGTGCCAAAGAAATAGGGCTGCAGAGAAGTGGGCAGCTTCCTGATGCTGGGCGCTCTGACCAACCTTCAGTGGTGGGAGGCCCTCCGTGCCATGCTGCCTGAGGGGACTATGATCTCTGTTCTGTTTTGTTGTTTTACTGATAAATGTTTTTGTTCTGTTGAGATAGTGTCTGTCTCTCTGTAACCAGGCTGGCTTTGAGCTCATGGCAGTCCTTTTGCCTCCACTGTCCAAGTGTTGGGATTACAGGCATGAAACACTGCCTGGTTCCTCCCTCCCTCCCTCCCTTCCCTCTGTCTTCTTTTTGGAGACAGGGTCTCTCTGTTGTCCCAGCTGGCCTGGAACTCAATAGGTGGTTTTTTAAGATTTATTTTTCTTTGTATATGTGTGTGTCTGCCACATGTACGTGGGTGCCCATGAGGGCCAGACCAGAGGAGTGTGTGGGATCGCCTGGAGCTGGAGTTGCAGGTGGTTGTGAGGCACCTGATGTGGTGTCACCTTTTCCTCTGGAAGAACAGGAAGTGCTCTTCACCCCTGTTCCATCTCTCCAGCCCCTTGTTTCTCTTTCTGAGCGGTACTTGCTCTGCTTTCTTCCAGCACACAGATGAAGAAGGTGATGTTAACCGTATTTAAACACAATCATGGCGCTTACCAGTTCTTCCGAGAAGCTCTGCAGTAAGGAGCTGGGCCCTGGTGTGGTCCTGGGAGGTCAGAGGTGCTGCCTCCGCTGGTATCCGGGTGCCAGCCCTTCTTACCCACATCCTGAACTCTTCCAGTCTGTGGGGCTTAGTGTTGGAGAGATGGTGTGCCACTGCCCCCTGACGTAGTCCCTGCATCTTATCCCAGATGTCTCAGGACTATTGGAAAAGTTCCTGGCTCAGGGAGGAGGATGGTGTTCAGCTGCCAGTAGCCAACCCTTTCTCCTATCTGCCTTGCAGATTTGAAATTGATGACTCTTCCCCCAGCATGTCTGGTTGCTGTGGGGAGGACTGCTCCTACGAGATCCTGAGCCGGAGGACCAAGTTTGGGGACAGCCAGCACGCGCACACAGGCGGGCACTGTGGTGGCTGCTGCCACTGAACTCTCAGAACCACCTGCAAGCTAAAGCACTCTCCTCAGGCCTGTCCTCTCCCTTGGTCTTATACCACTTGCCAGGTGCACCCAGAGCTGTGGGCTCCTCAGCCCTGTATATGCCAGGCACACCTGAGAGCACAGAACCCTGGGGAGCAGTGGTCTCAGCTACTGTTCACCTCTTGCTAGAAGCGCAGAGTGCCAGGGGGACACAGGAGAGGAGACTGACAGGACAGCCACCAAGCCCGTCCTCACACAGCAGCTGCCTCCTCACTAGGCTTTTGGGCCCTGGAATGGAAGTTTCCCCACTTCTCTGCAGCTGATTCCTGACAGGTCCCCTCACTATGCCCCTGTCTGGTTAAGTAGAATGTTTATATCTGCCTTTGTAAAAGACCTGGAGTCCTATCTGTAGTCTGCTGGTCCCTAGAAGGACTGGACTCATGACCAAGTGCTCTCTCAGAGACCATGTAGCCCTTTGATGCCAAGATGCAGAGGGGTTCTCCAGCCGTGTTCTTACATGTCCAGAGTGGCATCGTCCCAGGGGATCAGCCAACTTCAGGAGGGAGGCTGCCTCTCCATTGCTGTCAGTGAGGGGCTGAGAGGACCAGCAGGAGGCATCCTGAGGGTCTGCCCTGGGGACACTGCTTCTCTGGGCCTTTGGACTTTGCTGTATTCCCATACCCAAGAAGTCGTCACAGGTCCTGCCTGTTCTCTCCGTTCCTCAGCCTCTCCCCACCTCTCACCTCAGCTCAGATACCTCTGTTCTTAGTCTCAAGGGGAAGTAACATCAGGGAGCCCCTCGTCTTCCCCCAGAAGGTCCCCTCCTTCCTGGTACGGTTAATGCCATTTTGTCTCACTCCTGGTGCTGATAACTCTGAAGGTGGGGTACATCCTGCCGTCAGAGGAGCCCCGCCAGCAGCAGGCCCCTCTGCCTGCACTCCCCAGCCCCGCCCCTCACCGCCTCAGTGAGGTGCTGGTGCCACTATCCTGGCCCAACTGGGCTGCGTCAGGAATGCACTTCAGAGGCCCAAAGCTGCTTTTCTGTCCTTGGTGTCCCCTGTGGCAGCAGACTTGAACAGAGAGAGTGCCTTCCTGTTCTCAGAAGATGAAGAGAATGTGGCCTCAGAGCTTTGGTCACCCTGGTCTCTGGGCCTTGTTCCTCTTTCAGGAAAGCGAAACCAAATCCTCATGAAAACTTGCCACCTCCCATCGGCATCCTTGAGCAGGGATGTTTGTTTTTGTGCAAGTGCTTTTCTGAGAGTCTCTGAGTCTCTGTCCCCCTGACCTCAGTTTGCTCAACCCACCCACCGTGCTGACTCAGGCTGTCTGTCCTGGCAAATTTTCCCAGAGCAGTCCTCATTTCTTACCCAGATTCTTGCTTGCACAGTGGCCTAGGCACATGGGGCCTTTCTTGTCCTGTCTGGCCTCTGCCCAGCACCCTGTGCTGTTGACCGCGTGAGCCTTGTTACTGGGCACTCCTTGGAGAGGGCCTTGCAGCTTTACACTGGAATAGGTCTACCTTTGCCCCTCACCTGCTGGGTCTTGGGGGATCTAACACTCTGGGGAAGCTGCCCAGGGGGCTTGGTAGGCTCCTTAAGGGTCATGAAACAGCAGGAGCATGCCTTGGAAGACTTACTCCTTTCCCCATCTCAAAGGACCTGACAACTGTTGTCTTAGATCATGGATTTCTGATACCTCCCACTCAGGGGACCCCAAGGAACCCCAGTGTGAACCCATGTGAGGTGAGTGTGTTGTCACTTTCCAGTCACTGGACGCTGGGCACCAGGACGACCACGGCACTCAGTGCCATGCTCTCCTCCCTCACCCTCTGCAGGCTGTTCCCAAAAGGCCCTTCAGGATCTCCCTGGACCAGAGGGGCACTGGCCAGACCAGCAGATCACTCCCATGGGTGTTGAGCCCAATGATTCATCAGTCATCTGCCTTCCTCCACTGCCCTCATCTTGGTTTTGAGAAACAGCCAGGCTTACCGTATCAGGCTTTGTTTTTCGTTCGGGGCGTGTTAAAATTCTGTTTTAAGAGTTTCCTTTTGGTTGTGCCTACCCCATTTCAGGCTATTTTTGTTGGTGTCAAATGTGCACATGTGTATGTATTGTTCATTTTTAACCCTTTCTGGGGCTTTTTTTTTTTTTTTGAGGCAAGTTGGAAGATAATTTCTTTTATGTATTTTTTTTCTTTAGCAACTTGTTATCACTGGAATCAAAGGGGAAGAGTGATCTCTGCACCAGTGGTGTTTGTATGTCACTAATAAAAGACACTTTCTTCAGCTGCTGGGACGGCATCCAAATGCTGGGTACCCTGGGCAGCAAGTGTCAGGCGCCGGCCCCCAGAGGCACATGGAAGGAGGGAGCCTGGGGTGTCTGAAGCCACAGCTGAGGTAGGAAAGGAGATCACGTGAGTGTGTGCTCGCACGTGTGCCATTTTCTAGAAGTTCTGGAGAGACCCCAAGTTGTGGAGAGAGTTTGATGGAGCAGGCCCCAAGTCAGACCTTGTGACATTAGGCATCAGTGGGCAAATTAAAGTTCAGTGCCGTGTGTGAGTTGAAGGGATGAGCGTTTCCTGCCTTGTGCTTAACTAGGTTACTCAGAATATTCTTTGTCTCTGTCTCCTCGCCTCAGAGGACAAAGGTCCCAAAGGAATGGTAAGCCCTGTCAGAACAGTTAAGAACTGACCCCTGTAGGGTGACATATGTTACGTAGTTTGTCCCCCAGGCCCAGGCTCAGACAGGAAGTGACCTGGGAGCTGGAATTTAGAAGTGCTTCCTGTGGGCATTGAGGGGGGATGGTGGAAGGTAGAGCAGAAGGTCTGTGGGGGCCTTGACCCACATGGACAGTGTGTACCCTGACACTGGGGAGTTGTGGTCTCTGCCCTGTGGGAGCATGCAGTTTTCCTGTCTGTGGCCCATAGAATGGCTTCACAACCCTTGGGAAAGAGGGATACGGTTTGTTGGGCTAAACATACAATAGACTCCTCGAGGCAAAATCCTGCCCTCATGTGCTTTGAAGGCTGCCTTTATTTTTGCATTGCTGCTGTGCTTTACAAGCCCAGCCCTTGGTGGTTTGTTTTTCTGAGAAAGGATGTATTATGTCTTAAGTCTGATCTGGCCTGAAACTCCTGTGTAGTCCTGGCTCCATCTCCCCAGGGCTGAGATTATTGGCATGTACCACCACCACAGCTGGCTTTCTCTGGTCAGCCCCTTCCCTCAGGGTAAATGGCAGGTGGAACTGGAAGGATGGGGTCTATCTTCACTGTGGGCTGCAGTCTAGTGACTGCAGACCCAGCTTCCACTACCCTCCCAGTGGCTGGGGTCCTCCACCACCTGTGTGGCTCCTGGCGCTGATGCCCCTCCCTTCAGCCGCAGCCCCATCTTCACTCGGTGCTATTGAACGAGAAGATGCATACACGCCTCCTGGGTGGGTCAGCCCCATGTGCTGTGGTTTTTTAGTTTGAGACAGGGTTACCCTGTAGCCCCAGCTGGCCTGGAACTTCCTATGTAGACCAGGCTGGCCTTGGTCTCTGTCTGCTTCTGTCTCCTGAGTGCTAGAATTAAAGGTGTGCTTCATGCCTGGCACCTTCTGTGGTTTGAAAGATGTTAGGTTTGCCTAGTGCTAGGGACACAGTCACCAGGTGATTTCTGCTGCCAGGTTTGAAGGTGGGAAGGTCAAACTGAGGTAGATTTCTCTAGGATGGCCCATGTCTGAGCAGCACTTGTCCCAGGAGAGGAGGTGTGGGTGAGTTTGTTGAATCCCAGCCTGGTGGAGGTACTGCACCTTGGCTCTGAGGGAGGGGAACTGGCTTGGTGAGCCCCGGACATAGCTGAGCCCAGGTATGTTCTGCCTGTGTTACCATGTTGAGCTCTTCAACAGCCCTGTCTGAATGTGAAGAGGATAGAAACAGCTTGTCTGCAGTAAGTGGCGGAGCCAGGATTCAGGTCCAGGGCACTTGTGAAGGAAGATGGAGCCCCTCCTCTTCCCCACTGTCCAAGGTACTGCAGAAGGCTGTCCAGGGCAGGGATCTTCCATGCCATCACAGTGCCAGGTACATGGTGGTGCCCTGGGCAGAAAGTTGGTTTCTGGCCAAGACTCCCTAAGTGGCAAGCCTGTTAGTTACAGTCTTGAGCTGAAGTGCTGGCAGAACCAGAGCTAACTGCAGCAGCCTTGGGAATTGGGTTCAGCTCTGCACTGGGTACTGATGACCCTAAAGCCTGGAGAAACCAGGGTCAGAGTCCCAGGCCTAGCACCTCTGCTGTCCTACCCTGACACAGGGGGATGCTCTTACATAGAGGGCCTACGGCAACTAGCCTCCCCTCCGCACACCCCTTATCAGTGATGGGGTAGCTAAACTTTGAGATCTCCTAAAGGTGGTTGGGTCTAGGTACTAGATGGCTTGGGATGGTGCATAGCTCCTGTGTGGTGTACTGGGTGGGGCATGTCCCTACATCTAGCAAGATGCCCTGTGGGTGGGTTGCATAGAACTTTCAGACCTTGGAGTTGGGGATGCATTCCTGGGTGGCCTGTGTTCTGTACATTGGACTTGAGGAGTGGAAGAAGGTGGGGATATTGGTGGAGGGGACCTAGGAGTCCAGGACTCATGACTGGGCACTTGGGTGTGAGGCTTTTGGGCTGTGAGTGAGACTGGATGTGAAGGATGGATGAACAGGAGTTGGGGTCCCAGGAGAGGGTGGCCCTGAAGCAAAGAGGTCAGTAGGGATTGGATTGATTAATCCACGCTGGGGGCCTGGAAGGCAGAGGATGCTGGGTACACCTGGTCACACTGGAAGAGGAGTATGGCTGGGATCCAGCCCACCATGAAGGGAGCCATGGCGCCAGCCCTGTAGTCACCCTAGAAGTTGGACTTCACAGGCCTGAAAGGTGACCTCCTTTCTACCCTTCAAGTCCCAGATGGCTGCACCTGCATCATTCACTCCTGCCAGCTGCCAGATTCTGGGGTGCCAGGCCAGACAGCTGTGTCTATAGGAAGGGGAGCAGACCCTACGCCCCTGCACTGTCATCCCACATTGCTCAACCTAACAGCCGTGTCCAGCCACCTCAAGGTATCTGGCATCTGGTGACAGCTGTGCCCCAGGAAGAGCAAACAACCCCACTCTGGTCCTCTATTGCCTGCTTAGGTTTCTAAGTCAGCCTTTTTCCCTCCCTCCACTTCCTCCTGCTGGACTTTGCTAAGGGCCAGGGTGGTTTCAAAATGGTCATTCTAGCCAGCACCAGGTGTGCATGTGGTGCACTTACATAAGGGCAAAACACACGCATGAAATAAGTCTTAGACATTCTCAGCCTCTTGTGGACCCTCTTGAGTACTAGGTGTCTTGTGAGGCTATCCTGGTGTCTCCTACTGGCATCCCACTGAGGAAGTTAGTCATTTCCCTATGGATGTGGAGGGACCCAGCTGCCCTTACCCTCAGTGAGAGCCACGGTGGGCTCCTAGAGACCAGCTCAGCTCCTGTCTGCCTGCTTTTCCCTGCAGCCAGCCCCAGGGCTCAGTACCCATGCCATCTGTGCTATGGAGAGTTCATGCCAGGAGGAGACTGGAGAGCCAGAGTTCAGGTTCTTGGCAGCTCCAGGTCAGGTGCTCTGGGCGGTGGCTGAGGAGAAGCTCAAAAGAGACTTGGAGAGGCTCCTCCCCCAGGACTAGGGTGGATCCCTCCCCGATCCCCAAAGCTTCATAGTCGGACATGGTTCAGAGGACCTGCTGGACCCAAGCCTTTCATGAATGGGTGAGACCTAGACTGGGGCACTTGCTGTTTATCCAGCAGTGTCTGGGCCACCTGGGATGGACACAAGATACGGCTATCAGGCACTGAGGGCAGGAGACTGGCGTTAGGTGGGGACCAGCTCCCCTGCTCGTCCCCAAGGCCTAGGATCTCTTCCTAGTGTCCTGTACACTAGGAGAGTGGCAGAAGCAGCCTGGGCTCTTGGATCTGAGGCATGATCTAGGCCAGGACCTTTAAATCCTACCTAGTGGCAGAGAGGCCGCAGCAGTTTGAGCATGGTGGGCAGATATGGGTGGGGTATGGTGCTACCTGTCCTTGCAGCCAACAGAGTGTTAGAGGGGATCTCTAGGTCGGGTGTGCTCACCTGAGTTTTATAGTAACCATTTGAAGATGTGAGGCGCTCTCTCCCTGGACTTTGATCTGCATCACTAATAACAGTGATACTGAGATCTTTTCAACCTTTACTGCCCATGTATGTGCAGCCCCTTCTTATCAAGGGGCATTCTAAGGAGCTCTGCTGAGCCACCATCATGAGACTCTTGAGAGGCTCTTTGGTGGCTGATAGACTTGTAGTCATTGGCCTAAATGGTTCTAAATAGCTCTTGTATAAGTCTATGATGCCTGCTGCCTCAGCTCCTCCTTTCTCAGAAGAATTGTACCTTGCACTAATAATCAAGCTCATGATGTGATGATTCATAACTCAAGCCAAACCCTAGAGCTCTGACTTTTGTCTCCTTCCTTTGTCTGCTGCAGACTAAAGACCTGAGCCCTGGGATGAATGGCTCTTTATGGTGAGCTTTTTCTTAAAGCCACTGGCTTGCCTAGCCAGCTTGCCTAGCCTTGCTGGCACTGGTCAAACATCTCTTGGCTCCAGGACAGTAGCTGGTGGCTTTGAAGGGCATGGTAATTGCAGTATGTCCCAAGAGGCCTGGGTGGCAACTCACAGCAGTGAGGACTCCAGTTGGGATGGGGCAAGGGGCTGCATTCAAAGGGCTTAAGAGACTCCCCTCAAACCTCAAGCTTGCCCCCTTCCAAAAAAAATACTCCAGCTGGCCAGCCGCCCCCCCCCCCCAAAAAAGCCCTGGCAGTGGCCCAATGGCAGCTCAGGAATGTCGAGTGATGCTTATCCTTTTCCAAGTGGTCTGAGAGGCCTCCGCTGCCTGGTTACCTGGATTTGGAGACAATGGAGCCCCAAGTTCCCCCAAGCCTGACTCCTTGCAAGTTGCAAACTCTCCAGGGTAAGAGATGAGAGAGGCAGAACAGGAAGGCTCTGAGGCCTGTGGAGAATGAACCATGGGAGGCTGTTTTTGTGGGTGGTGGGAAGAGGCCACTCATAGTTCAGGCTTCATGGGAACACACAGGTACAGGTGAATAGAAGGCCACATGTCATCTGCATACCCCATGCTGCGTTCAAGTGGCTAGAGAGGGTTCAGGCCTTGTCCTTGGTTTATCTCCTCAATCTGTCCAGCCTTCCTCTTCTCCATCTCTTCTAGCATGGCTAGAGGTCTAACTGAGCCCGCCCTACCTAACTGCCTA